TTTTTTTTTTTAATTATTTATATTTTATATTTTAATCTATTTTCTAGTGATTATATTACATCAGTGAAATGTCACACATATTATATTAAGTTAAAGGCACGCTATGACTTTGCATTGAAAATATACGTTAAAAGAGGAATTAAATGTCAGAAAATATCAAAGTTGATTAACGTGATTTGTGCTGATAATGCTGGATATTTTGTTACCACTGGCTATAAACATATCATTAAATTGATGAAAGATTAATAATTTTATTTTGTCCTGCTAATTAATTGCACACAATGAGACACTTATATTTTCAGCTCACATTACACAATGCATTGTTTTAAGGTTTATCTTTTGTATTCTGTAGTTTCTCTTTCTCCGTCTATGTTTTCTTTTTCTACGCGCTTTTTTCTCTCTTTCCTTCTAATCTAAAATATTCAAATATCCTGATACATCCTCGTATAATCATTGTTGTGACGCAATCGCAATTCGATGGGGGATCAGCGAGCTTGACGTATTACGTCGCATCCAAATTTACGGCCGAGGTTCATGGTCCACGTGTATACGTGAGACGCGATGTAAACTTGATATTGATTTTGCGTTCAGCATCCGCGCGTAGGGCGCGCGCACGATGAGCGCATACAAACGCAGCAACATACACACTCACATACATATCCGTATTTTCGTGTGTACACCATTTTGCACGTGCACCCTCTTCATTCGCAAAATCCTGAACTGGCAGGATTACAATGGAGAAAGAAGTAGGGTGGCAAAAAGAGAGATTTTTGAAGGAGGGGACTTTTCAATGAACGTACACGCATGCGGCGAGGATAATGCACGCGAAATAGTTACGATACGTCCAGCGAGAAATCGGTTGCATATGTCCAGTTCTGACCAACGTGGGTTGAAAAAAAGATCATGAAAAAAAATGTTTAAAATTCGCTGGCATCAAATTGGATTGTAAATTTAATTGTAAATCTGATTAAATAATTTTTTATATATAGCTGTTCCGTTTTTTTCTGGATTATATTATTTACAAAAATGAAAAGAAATTTATTACATATATTAGCTATATAATTTGAAATAAATGCGTTTGTACAATATGAAATACATTGAAAAGTTTATATACGTCCTTTTAACGCAATCATTTAGGCTATCTTTAATAATATCTATTTTAAATATCTAAATGCAGTGTTGTGTCACTTAATATTATATTATTCAAAAGGTCAATGTGATTCATATGTACAATATATATATGTTGGAAAATCAGAGAGAGATAAATAAAACACAGCCGGTTATTGAAAAAGTAATTCCCAAATGGCACTCGTAATTGCTCGGCTTACAGTTGCGTGCCAGACGTTATCGGAACATGGGTAGAGAAATTTATCGTTAAAGTGCATCGCTTTTTTCTATGAATGCAATAGGAGTCACAATGAAATATTGATATTGTAGAAAATATGTGTGTGTGTGTGTTATTGACTTCTCGGAAATTTACATCGCAACCTAAAGTAAATCGATCTCTGCTAAAAAGGAGTCTATGTATTGAAAGAAACCTCAGAAATAAGCAAATTAAAAAGAAATAGAAATTTTTGCAAAATTTTTCGAAAATTTGTAAATTTCGAATCTTTCTCCGAAAAAAATTGTGTCAAAAAATAAAAAAATATAATAAAAGTAATTGTGAATATTAGTAAACTCTCGAATTATTGATTTCGAAAATTAAAAAAAAAATTATATATTAATTTTCCTTTTTTTAAATGCTCCCCTTGTGTAATATCAACCTCTCTACCTAAACTTTAAATAAATATATCGCAGAAAAATAATGGATACAAATTTTCATATATCAAGATGTAAACTGTGTCTAGCTATATCTTGAGAACATAATTAGGCTTAAATGTCACAGAAAAATTGTATGTGTATAAAGCTATAAATGTTTAAATGTCGTAATATTTTTTTTTTTTGCGACCGGCAATTAACAAATCTGGTTTAATATTGTATCTTACTCGACAAACACATAGATCGTGTAATAATATAATCAAGATTATATTCCTACACGTCCATTTAATTAATAATTATGTATTTTTTTCGCGCAATCAAGCGCATGACGCAAGTATCTTATTGGTTTCGTTTGTTGTAATTATGGCAATAGAATGAGCACTATGCTTGGCAATAATAAATTTACTAAATATATAATTTTTTAATATTTTAGATACTTGAGTGTATAATTATGAAAAATTTCTTTTAAAGATTTTTTTTTTAAATTATTTATATTTTATATTTTAATTGATTCATATGTACAATATATATATGTTGGAAAATCAGAGAGAGATAAATAAAACACAGCCGGTTATTGAAAAAGTAATTCCCAAATGGCACTCGTAATTGCTCGGCTTACAGTTGCGTGCCAGACGTTATCGGAACATGGGTAGAGAAATTTATCGTTAAAGTGCATCGCTTTTTTCTATGAATGCAATAGGAGTCACAATGAAATATTGATATTGTAGAAAATATGTGTACACTTGTGTTATTGACTTCTCGGAAATTTACATCGCAACCTAAAGTAAATCGATCTCTGCTAAAAAGGAGTCTATGTATTGAAAGAAACCTCAGAAATAAGCAAATTAAAAAGAAATAGAAATTTTTGCAGAATTTTTCGAAAATTTGTAAATTTCGAATCTTTCTCCGAAAAAAATTGTGTCAAAAAATAAAAAAATATAATAAAAGTAATTGTGAATATTAGTAAACTCTCGAATTATTGATTTCGAAAATTAAAAAAAAAAAAAATTTAATTTTACGAAATAAATCAGCTTGTGGCTTTCCATTTTAATCTATTTTAATTTGCCAGAAAAATTGTAAAAAATAATAATGTAAAGTTTCTTCTTTCACATTCTGTCAAATTATAGCAATTTTTTACCATCTTTTGCATAAGATACGTGTGTCTCTTCTTAGCAGAAAACACAGCCGGTTATTGAAAAAGTAATTCCCAAATGGCACTCGTAATTGCTCGGCTTACAGTTGCGTGCCAGACGTTATCGGAACATGGGTAGAGAAATTTATCGTTAAAGTGCATCGCTTTTTTCTATGAATGCAATAGGAGTCACAATGAAATATTGATATTGTAGAAAATATGTGTACACTTGTGTTATTGACTTCTCGGAAATTTACATCGCAACCTAAAGTAAATCGATCTCTGCTAAAAAGGAGTCTATGTATTGAAAGAAACCTCAGAAATAAGCAAATTAAAAAGAAATAGAAATTTTTGCAGAATTTTTCGAAAATTTGTAAATTTCGAATCTTTCTCCGAAAAAAATTGTGTCAAAAAATAAAAAAATATAATAAAAGTAATTGTGAATATTAGTAAACTCTCGAATTATTGATTTCAAAAATTAAAAAAAAAAAAATTTAATTTTACGAAATAAATTAGCTTGTGGCTTTCCATTTTAGTCTATTTTAATTTGCCAGAAAAATTGTAAAAAATAATAATGTAAAGTTTCTTCTTTCACATTCTGTCAAATTATAGCAATTTTTTACCATCTTTTGCATAAGATATCACGTGTGTCTCTTCTTAGCAGAAATATGCCTTAACTACGCGTAATAAGAAAAATAGAACAATTTTATAATCGATAATACGAAGATCGTAAAAGAGAATTTGCGTTTTATCCTTTCAATTATCTTTTAAGACCGGTTTCTCGCTCCCTTCTATAGATATTCAATGTCAACTTTCGACGCGTTACAGGCTTCATGGCGGAGAAAATGTATTACTGGGGTGAGGAGAAGGATCAGGTCGACCCCGATCAGACCTTCATAGAGTTCAAGGCTAAATCGGTGGGGACGGACAAGAAACGCGAGCCGCCCCGCACCGTGCCGAAGATGACAGTATCTTCGCCGCAGGGTAAAATGACCGAGATCAGTAATAGGGAGGAAGATGCCGAACGCGGCGGCTGGGACAATAAACTTGACTTCCTGTTTTCTTGCATAAGTGTCTCCGTCGGGCTCGGAAATGTGTGGCGGTTTCCCTACCTTTGCTATAAAAATGGCGGTGGTAAGTCGATTTAAAATACTAGATTTACATAAACAATTTAAGCGGACGTTTTTAATATTAGGACCCTAAATCAGCATATAAATTCATAATTAGTTATATTGTATATTACCAATTTTATTTTTATTATTAATTT